AGCCTGCTTCTCCCTCTCCCACTCCCCCTGCTTGTGTTCCCTCTCTCGCTGTGTCTCTCTCTGTCAAATAAATAAATAAAATCTTTAAAGAAAAAACAAAAAACCGCCACCAGCCCTTAACTTTGCTGACCTCTACATTACATTATTCAGAAATGTAAAATCAGTTGCTAATTTCATTCTCTGAATTTGTCTACAAACTGCTCAGCATTAAGCTTAGAACCTGGTAGTTAATAAAACTTGATTCTTTTTTGCCCTTCATATATTTTTATGATAAGCACTGTTAATGTCTCAAACTGTAGGACTAATGAATTTGGTAATAAAACTTGATTTTTTAAAAATGTATTTTCTAAACCTTTCCCTCTAAATTTCTAATCTTGTTTTAAGCAGCAAAATTAAGTAGAATGCAAGTAAAATCTGAAGTCTCTCCTCACCCCAAAACTTACAGAGTCCGTAACTCTGACTCACAGCCTACTACTTTCAACAGCATTGCACATCAGTAACTTTTTAAAAATTGAAGTGTAGTTGACACACAATGTTACATTAGTTCCACTGTACAACATAGTGATTTGACAACTCTATAGTAACATGTTTATGGAATGAAAGAGTGTTGTGGATTTGGAGAATATCACATGGACCTCACTGGTGTATTTGATTCTCTTGATTATATGGATTGGGAAACCATGGTCTATAACAGATGAATGGCTTAACCAGGAGGACAGTTTACTTTTAGGGAAAAGTACAGACAACTATAGTTACTATGCCTTTTGCTGCCTCTTTAAGGTTTAGATTTGCCACACGTGGCTAGGAATTTGGAAGCAAAGACCCTGTAGGTCCCATCCTGATTTTAATGTTTTGTGCGTCTGCATGTGATATCCAAGTTGATCAGCTTCTCTTTCTGTATGATTTATTGTTGTTGTTATTATTATTATTATTACTGTAATTCCTGAGAGGGAGACATATTGACCTGCAAGCCTTTACCTTTCATTTGTTAAGGGTAACCAGCAGGAGTGGTCACAGATTTCTTAATCCTACAACTGACCTGCAGGTTCTGGTGTCATGTCTGAAACATCCATTTGCCTTGTAGGCCTGTAACAACACCAGTGACCGGAAACACGCAGACTCAATTTTGGAGAAGTACGTTACTGAAATTGTCATGAGTATCGTTACCACCTTCTTCAGTTCTCCCTTCTCAGACCAGAGCACGACGCTGCAGGTAAGAAAGGCAAATGCACATGCAGGGCGTTCACGGCCGAGCTTCGGCAGGGGCCATTGGCATGGATTTGACAGTGAGCAGCTATCCATGAGTTGTTCTGCAAGGCATTCAGACAATTTTCTTTTTCTTTTCTTGCTGTGGAGGGCCCCTTGGCTAAAGAAGCACCTGAGAATGTTTTTCTGTACCAGATGAATCTATTGGTTTTTGATTTTTTTTTTCCCCTTAAGATGCCTTTTCTTCCCCCTTCAATCATGTTATTCCCCCCCTTCAATCTTAGAAGAAGGAGAAGCAGCTTTCAGATAGGTGCTAGCATGTTGTTAACACTTTTTAAAAATTCATTTGGAGATCCCGATTCTAACTCCCAGGCGTGTACCCAGAGTTCACCCAAAGCGGTGCGGGGCTAGCGTGAGAAGGTGTTCAGCCTGGCTGGCGGGGCTGCTGCGTGGCCCGGCCCCGCGGGCGTGTGCACGCCTTCCTGCGTGGTGCTCCTGGGGCCGTGCACTGCAGGGGCTCTGCATCAGGATTCCCACGGTATTTCCAGGTTCAAAGGTAGGAATCCATGGATCCAGGAGATGATGTCATTCTTTGACTTGGAAAAAAATCATTCTTCTTTATATAACTTATGTCTGGGTCAACTGCTGTGCGAGTCTTACTGCAGGTGCGTTCGTACCGCCTGCAGGATGAAAGCTGGTCTTGGTCTCCAGCGGTCAGAAGAGAAATATTAACCCTCCTTGTCGTGGAAAGAGGTGGAGGCTGTCCTGGGGTTGATGGGTGGCCTAGGGTTGATGGGTGGCGTAGGGTTGTTGGACTATAGACAGATAATCCTAATGAAGGTAAATTCTCCAAGGGAAGGGTGATTCATACTCCCTGGTGTGTTAATTAGATACTGCTATATTTCATTAATATGCAAAGAGTTCATATAAGCCTACTACAGCCTATGAGGTGGATGATACTATTCCCATTTTGCAGCTGAGTAAACTGAGGCTCAGAAAGTTTAATTACCATGCTCAGTCAGGGTCACAACCATTAGGTGGCATAACCATGATTTCAGCCTACTTCTCTCTGATGCAAAAACTTGAATTATGGAATTTTTCATGAGATACCTTTCCTTGGGACTGTTGGTAACCTTATGCTTAGTTAGAAATAACTGTACAAGCTAGTGGTTAAGCTAAAGTATCACGAAGTTAGAAGGCTGCCTTTCAAATGTCAGTACATATTCTTGAGTAATTGGGGAGCAGAAACTGGTTGGATCCCAAGCACATGAATTCCTAGAGACCAGAACATGCTCCTCACCAACTACTATTACACGGAGAGCCCGCTAGGAAAGCTGCTTTGGTTACTAAGATTGGACTTGCTTCTTTTGTAATTTAAAGTGACAATCGCCACAGCAATGCCCATTCTCCTATAGATTGTGAAACAGTATTGCAAAACCAAAATGTCAAAGTAAATCAATCAAATTAATTGGAAAACCATTAAACAGGAACTTGTGTATTGGATTTCCATCTTGGTCACTCCTGTCTCCTCCTATTGCCTTACTTTGAAACCAATTTTTGGACCACCTAATAAGCCAGAATCATCAGAGAGATGAATCTTCAATATAAATGTTGAAAGTTCCTAGTGAGATCCCAGGTTGTCTATCTATACTTAGAATATAAAGTCCAAAGTGGTTTTAGCTTTGTTTTTTAAGGGGTAGCTTATGGATTCTAGAGCCTTCATTTTCAAGGAATACTATTTTTGGAGCTCTCATAGCCTGTTTTATTTTGTTTTTATGCTGAAAAACATATGCCTCATTTCCCCAGCTAGATTTTTACCTCCTTCCTGGCTTACTTCCTTGTTTGTTTGTTTTTTTTGGTTTGTTTCCTTCTTTTTATTCAAGCCAAACATATGAGGAAGGAAAATGATGAACTCGGATTTGGCTGTGTTGCATTTATGTTGCCAGTGGAATGTCCAGGAAGCAACTGGAACTGTGGGATCCAGGGAGGAAGAACAGAATTTTGGAGGCTTTAGAGCAGGATAAAGCCGGTTTCAAATCCTCACTGTGCCCCTTATCAGCTCTGTGGACTGGCCTTGGTCACTGAACTTCAGAACCTCTTGGCTTACATTTGAAACAGGGATGGAATATCAACCTTGCAGGTTATTGTGAGCACTAGAGGTAATGTTTATGAACCATCTAGCATAATGCCTGGTACATAGGAGGTGCTTAGTAAATAGGAGCTTGTGCTTTCCCCCGCTACACTGTCAGCTTCGGTAAGAAGGGCGTGGTTATGTCTTAGGTCACAGTTGTCTGCGATACTGCTCGGTCCCTGTGCCTTGCTTTGTGCTTGGAACCTAGGAGATGCTAACTCATTGAATAAGTAAATGAATCTGTGAGACTCAGGAGAGTGGAGGGATAGAATCCAAGTATAAACATTTGCTCATTGAAGTTGTGGCCTGGAAAATGAAGTGGTTTACTAGAGGTGACTGGGCAGAGCACAGATAATTAAAGGCAAGATACAAAAGAGGCCAGGGGAAGGTCTTCACTTTATCCCGCATGCAGGATGGGATTCAGGAACAAGCAGGGCTTCAGGATCTAAGAAAAGGGAGCATTTTATGAAGAAGGTGATGAGCGGCCATGTTTTTTAGTCCAAGAGGTCAAGCGAGCTGATGTTCCCAGATTGCCCATTGGAATGGGTAATTAGGAGGCAGCTACTCTGGCCAATTTCTTCATCTTTTGTTTATCCAAGGGTCAGATGGAACAGAGCACAGGCCTAATAAATATTGGTTCAATTGAATTAATTTAGTCAAAGGATACTTCTTTCTTTGAGTTTGGGTATTGGGTTCTCATCCCAACTCTAACACCTACGAGCCAATGAGAGGGATGATAATACCACTATTTACTTCCTTGGGTCATGGTGAGGGTTCAGTGAGATAGCCAAAAAAGCACTTAGCCCTTGGCATGTGGGAAGTGATCTCCAAAAATGGCTTCTCTCATTGGAACCCTTGTGCTCAGGAGCTTAATATCAGGGTTTCTCAGCCCATTTCTCAGGCTCTCTATGATCCTGTCCTCTATTAGCAATGCAGTTTGCTTTCTTGGGTGGCTGTGAGCTGTAGAACAGAAAGTACTTCCTGAGGGAAGCAGAGATCCTGGTTTTCGGGTGAACTTGGTGGAAAGAGCACAAGTTGTTGGCGTCGGAGAGCCCTGAAGTCGACTCACTGCTCTGCCACCACTTGTTGGTTCTTCTGTGTGCTTTCTTTTAACCTGTCTGGGCCTCTGTTTTGTATTTATAGCATTAAGGCTATAAATGTTTGCCACAGGATTGTTTGTTGAGGCCCCAAATGAGCTTTCATTTGAAGTATGTAGCACTTAGTAAGTGTAAGTTATCTGAACATTGTTCATAGAAGAGGTTCTGAATTTTTATTAACCTGTTGAATTTTCTTCTAATAGAGTTCTTCCTCCCCCCTCCCAGCACTTTCTATTGTTTTTCTTCCATCTCAGAAACCTCTCTAGAGCTTTTTAATACTTTTTTTCTTTGCTATATTAATTCCCACTGTGTTTTGGAGGGACTATGCAAGTCCTCTTCCCCCAAACTAAAAACAGGGAGTAGCTCACTGTATACAGTAATGTTTGCCTTGCAGGTCAAAGCTACTCTGACCCAGGTAGCTTTGGATGGAGACCATAATTAAAACTTTGAAACGCATTTGGAAATTCGGAGGAAGTAAATGTTGGAGTTCTCTTATTTTAAAAAGAGTACAAATTTATACTGTCATAGGAATAGATCCTACCATATAGTTAACTCATCTGTAGTAAATGAATACTTAGAACGAGTAACCATCAGAACTATCTTCTGTTTATATCATTGAAGACACTGCTAGAAATAAGTAAGCATTCTTGGTGAGATCCACTCATCAGTTTGTTTTTTGCTGATTAAAAATAGAGGTTCTGCTTATAGGAAATAATGTCTGGAAAGAACTTCGGGTTAATTTGCCTCAATCCACTTATTTTATATATTGGATGAAGTTAAAGCTCAGAGACATGAGGCAATTTGCCTGAAGTCATATAGCCAGTTGGTAACTGGACAAGAATACCAGATTTCAGACAGTGATTCCACTCTTTGTTCTTCTGGTCAGACTTAGATGGCATCAGGTTTGTAGATGCCCTTAAAATGCTTCTGATTTTTTCCTCCTTGGGCTAGGCAACTTCTAGAATCCTGTTTATAACCGGCACCCCTTCTTACTCTTGCAAAGGGTCCATTACCATTAACCCACAGTTCAATGCAATGTCTATTTCTGATCAGCATATCAGTGATCTACAGAAAAGTCATACCGCCCGTCTCTTGGCTTCTCTTCCTTGCAGACTCGCCAGCCTGTCTTTGTGCAACTGCTGCAAGGTGTGTTCAGGGTTTACCACTGCAACTGGTTAATGCCGAGCCAAAAAGCCTCTGTGGAGAGCTGTATTCGGGTGCTCTCTGATGTAGGTAAGATATTAGTGCAGTTGGGATTGACTGTGATAAAAATGAATTGCCTGACAGTAATAAAGACTGCCATTTCTTGAGAACTTGTTCTAGCTCTTCTGAAGTTCTACACACAAGAAGTTGCAGAGGCAGAACTGGAATGGAGGTCTTTTTGATTGCTAACCCTTGCTTTCATCTACCAAGCCAGCATCTCCCAAAGTTAAGAGCCAGTAAGTCCCAAAGAAAGCTAGGCTTTGAAAAAATAAAGAGTCCACCATTCAATGTTAGGCAACTCTTGACAAGTCACAGTGCACACGAGCTAATTCAAGGCTCTGGGAAGTCTCTCATTCAGGAAACGGATTTGTTTACTCCAGTAAGTGTATTTGACCGTATGGAAACTTTCTTCCTACGAAGTACATGTCCAACCCCAAGGAACATCCTTTCTCAGAAATGCTACACTGATCCCTTTTGCCTCTCGATGATAAATAGTGCTCCATTCCCTCCTCCCTCCCCGCCCCTCACTTGTCACCTCTCTGGCAGCTTTGAAAGGAAGTCATGAAAATTACTGCTCCCTTCACCCTGACTTACTCAGACTCTCTTCCTTGGCCCTATTCCCCTTTATAAATGTTAAGCAAGGTGTTCATCTTCCTGCCTAAATTGAAGAAGAGTTACCTCCCCATAGTAGCTATTTAGATCCCCTGAGAGCAGCAGAAGAGGCAGGTGGGGTTCTTAGCACTACTGAGTAGCTGTCCAGCCAATACAGATGGTGTTACTTCCCTGATTTCAGTCCTCCCATCCTGATTTCCTTGACTCTCAAGTGGTAGGTGTTGGTGTCCTTTTATTATTTTTGCAGCACTATTTCACAATAAGAGATGAGGCTTTTGAAAGTGTGTATGTTGTAGGTTCATGATGTGATATCTCAGAACCAGGGTTCTGAGACTATATCCCCAAAACTCGCTACTCTGCCCATGTAGGATCATGCATCATAAAGTTGTTGAGTAAAATTTGGGCAGGTTGCCCAGTTGATCAGCCCAACGCTCATTAGGGAGATGAAATGTTTTAATTGGCTTGGCATTGATGAGAAAAGACAGAGGGAGGTGATGTCTATGAAGTGGCAGGCCATGGAAACAGCACAGCACCCCAGGAATTCAGACATATGCCCCTTGGGGAATACTTCTTCCTGACTAAAATCACACCAAAGTTCACTATTTTCATGGTTTATCTTCAAAAGGGGGTATCCAAGGCACATTGTTTCTAGCTGAGTGTATGCTGTGCATCCTGCTTTTTATTTTTATATTATTCATATCTTTTTTCCCAAATTTCTCACTTGCTATATTAAACTGTTAGAAATTCGTTGGCTGGCTGATGATTCCTTTCCCCACACTGTGGTTTTTTGTTTTTTGTTTTTTTGGATTTAAACAGTTGCTTCTCAAATTGCTTCTTCCAGGGTGCTGGCATTGTTTTTACAGTTAGATACAGGTAATATGGCACCTTCTTTGCTTCTGGTCTTATGAAGCATTGAAGACAGGAAGTCATTGTCTTGTTTTTCAGAGGTTGTTGGATTTCCCATATGGGAAAAAAAGATTGTTGGTCTTAGTTATTTTCCTTTATTAATTAAACTTTTTATTTTGGAATAATTTCAGACTTACAGGAAAGTTGCCAGGATATCACACAGAGTTCCCATATGCCCCTCACCCAGTTTTCCCTGCTGTCAACATCTTGCAACACCAGGATGTTTTTGTCAAAACTACAAAACTGATATTGGCCCATTGCTACGAATTAAACTCCAGACCTGGCACCACTTTTTCCATCAATGTCCTTTATCTGTTCCAGGATTCAGTCTAGGCTCCCACGTTGCATTTAGTTGTGATGCCTCCCCAGTTCCCTCTGGGCTGCAACAGTGCCTCAGACTTTCCTTGTGTTTTATGACATTAACAGTCTTAAAGAGTGCTGGTCAGGTGTCCTGTAGAATATCCCCCCCCCAACCCCGCCACACCATGGGCTCGATTGTTCCTTTTCTCATGATTAGACTGGAGTTTAAGAGGGGAAGAGAAGAGCCTAAATGTAAAGAATGGCTTATGTTATTGTAAATGTCATCTTTTGTGTTATGTTTGGCTTAAATTGGCATTTTGTAGATTGTTCTATAGAATACCACTGAGAGAGAATTTTTAGAAAAATAGTTTGTTGGCCAAATGAGTTCCCTATCTTAATAATTCTTAAAATATATGAACACACTTTGATTTGCCTAAACTTTGACCTTAGAACATGTTAACATACCTCAGAGCTACTGTCCCCCAGAATTCACACTGAAAATCGCTGACCTAAGGATGGTCAAGTTCATTTGAGCTCCTCAGCATTCACACTCCATGCCATGCAAGTGACATACTATGGAAAAAATTTGCCTGAGGGGGTGATGGGGGAGTTAAGTCTGTCTTTGGGGCATCTCCCATGCAAGTTGGCGACTCACGAGTCATCTTTCTTCTGTGTAGCCAAGAGCCGAGCCATCGCTATTCCTGTGGACCTGGACAGCCAAGTCAACAACCTCTTTCTGAAGTCCCACAGCATCGTACAGAAAACTGCCATGAACTGGCGTCTGACTGCCCGTAATGCGGCTCGCAGAGACTCTGTTCTGGCAGCTTCTAGAGACTACCGGAATATCATTGAGAGATTGCAGGTAATGCTTGGCCCAGAGAGGAGTGAACCTGAACCTGGCCTAAGGTGGTTCCCACACAGCAGTGCTTCCATGAGCCAGAGAAAAACCAAGATTGGCCATAGAGAGATGTCAGTATGTGAATGGATAGTCAAGCACAGTAATATACAAAGAACCAAGAATGCAAAGCTACTTGGGAAGAGAAAAGCTCCTGACAAAGTCATGGTCTTTAAAGGTTATTCGTAGATTTACAGATTTCTTTTTGAGAATAGGGACTCTGCTCTTACCAAGAAGGAATATTTAAATATTACAAAAGCATACTTAGGATAAGGGAATGAGGGCTCCATTTTTTTTTTTTCCCTCATCCTGGCATATTTAGCCTCTTGATTCAGCAAGTAAACAAGTGTAATAATGCCTGAGAAAAGAGTTTTCTATCAGAATGAACCAAGTGAAAATAAAAGTATAACTAAATTCTACCTGGATTATACTTTTTTCTTAGCACCTATGAAGAGATCTGTCCCTTTGTTAAGGGGAGAGTAGTATTAGGTGTACATGAAACACTTAAACATACATCTTAACATTAACATCTTCCTTTAGCAAGCTCCTCAAGGGATTCTCTTACAGGTAGTGTACATGGGCCATAGTTGGAGATTCTCAGACGCTTCAGATGGGCCCATTGCCGTGCTTAAGGGCATGATCGCAGGCCAGCGCCTGGGGTCAAATCCTGACTCCATTGCTTAGAAATGGTGTGTTCTTGGGAAAATTGCTTTATTGTTCTGTGCTTTGGTTTCCTCATTTGTAAAGTAGGATAATCGTAAAGCTACTTCGGGAGGTTGATGTGAGGATTACAAGGCTGATAATGTGTTCCCATTATCAGTGCCTGCTTAACAAATTGCAACAGCCATTATTTCCCTCTCTTCCACTGTTCTAGAGGTTGGCTGGGCTCACTAAGGTATTTCTTGCTCAGGGTCTTGAAAGCAGTTGCAGTGAGATGACAGCCGCGGTTGGACTCATCTTGAAATCTTGCACATGTTTGGCAGTTGAAGTTGGGACCCCCAGCTGGAGTTGTCACCTGAAGCATCTACATGTAGTTTCCCCATATTGTCAGCGCTTGCTTGCAGCATGGTGGCTGGGGCCTAAGATTAGCATCTCGAGAGAGAGACAAGGAAAGCTGTAATGCCTTTATAGCACACATAGCATCACTTTTGTCAAATTCTGTTGGTCAAGGCGGTCACAAGTGTCCACTGAGGTTCAAGGGAAGGGGACATAGACCACCATGTAATGGGAAGAATGTCAGTGGTGCAGTGTAAGAAGAACGTGCAAGAGAAGATATATAACAGTGGCCATTTTTGGAAAATACAGTACACGTAAATGGCATAGACTAGAGCCTGGCGTGTAGTGAGCACTTGATCAGTGACAGCTGCTATTACAATTATTACCGTTACTGTCATTGCTGTTAGGACTGTAATAATTAGATAAAATAAATGAATCTCTGTGAGGTTATATAACCTGCCTAGAGATGCATTCATCAGCTCCACTCATGCTGGGCGCCAGGGATGCAGTGGTGAGAAAAACCACAAATGATCTTTGCCTTCATAGATTCTCAAGTTTTGGAAGGAAGATAGACATTAGTCAGCTAATCACATGGATAAAAGTAAAATGGCAAGAGAGACAATGCTGCAGAGAAGTGAGTAGTGCTATGGAGGGCTGCTGAGGAACCTAATCATGCCCAGAGCTGGGATGATGATCCAAGAAGGCTTTGCTGAGGAGTGACGTTTGAACCAAGATCAGAGGAATGTAGGACTTACTTAAAGGAATAGAAGGGAGGGAAACAGCATTTGAAAAGAACATTGTATGGGACAGAATGTGACGCATTCAAAGACCAAAGGAAGGTTGGTGTGGCTGGAGCCCATGGAGCTGGGGAGGCAGGAAGGAGTTCTTAGGTCAAGGAAAGAATTTCATCCTTATTGTGACACACCCAGTCTTAAACAAAGATAATTTAGTTCAAATAGAGTGCTTCCTGACTCTACTATATTTTTAAAGGGGAGGGATATTATAGACTCATAACTGTTTGAATGCATGGTATTTTTTACTGTTCAAACTAACTAAATTATCTGCAGCCAAACGCACCAGTTTCTTGTGCTCTTCTTATATTTATTATGCATATTCTTAGGGAATAAAATAAAAATGTAAGCCTAGCTAATGCTTGTTGTGAAGACTTGAGTAGTGGCTGAAAGGATCCTCATTATGCAATGATTTATTGTCTGAGTCCCTATATTATAAGATTGCCTAGGACAGCAGAAGTTACCATAATATGAGAACATTCACTTGCAGACCGACTGCTTATATAATTAATCCCCATTGGAACATCCCCCTCACTTAACACCAGCATCTTTCCCTGCCCATCGCTTCACCATCCTTGTCTGTTGGTCTCTCCTTGATTGCTGAATGTTAAACATTTGACAATACAATGCAAATCAATGGCAGTGTAAAGTTCAAACCTTGCAAAAGATGCAGGATTTTATGAATATGATGTTGAAGAACTGCTTCAACGCCCTGCAAATGCTATAGACAAAGATTTGCCAGAGTTAGAACCAATAACTACTGAAGAAGGGAATTTGGAATGCTTTCAAAGAGGAAACAGAGAATTTTGCAAAAATGACCCTCTTTTTGACTATGCTGTGAATGTCAGTATGAATTAAGGGGTATTGCAGTGTACTCTTGCTGGGAAAATTGCCCCCTCAAATAATTTGATTGATTCATGCATTCTTTATGCATCCTAAATATTATTGATTACAAATTTTGTTAAATATAAAATAAATAATATTCACATGTTTTAGTATTAGTTTTGGGGTAACAGATAAATCAATTCTTTATTGCCCATTCTCTATGAAATCTACACTTAAGTTGAATGCAATTTAAGTGGCCTTTCCCATGCAAATCTCCTTGGTTAACTAGGCCTTCCCATATTATCCACCATGCTGTGTTCAGCCCCTGTCTTAGCCAGCAAATGCTTCCAGTTAGGTTTCAAGTTACCAAGCCACAACAGATTTTAGCATCTTTTGAAGATAATTTCTCATCTGTTTTCTGCCATTTGCCTTTATATGGTGTTTGTTGTGTTGGTTTTGCTGCTCTTTCAACTTCTCTCTGTTTTCCTCTCCTACAGCTATGTGTTTTGCATTTGAAGACCATCATGCTATCAGGGTACATGTATTTAGCATGTTGATACAGCATGTTCATTCATTTGTGTGCTCATTTTTGTATGACTTTTTATTATATGAATAGTTCATGCTCATTGGAAATAATTTGTACTCACAAGTACCCATTTATGGAAGAAAATTGGAATCACCTGCAATCCCACCACCCAGAGAAAACCAGTAGTGATGTTTTGCTGATATTTGGTATATATCCTTAGGTACTGATGTTGTTTCTAAAAAATTGGATCATATAGTCCATGCTATTGTTTAACCATTTTTTTACACTCATATTGTAGACATTTTTCCATGTTGTCGAATGTGCTTTTTGCATCGTATTTTAAAATATGTGGAATGACCCCTTGAGTGACATAAGGATCACCACAATAGAAGGGCTGGTGGGGCTGTTTTTACCTCGTTCTCTGCATCAGGGGCTATGGCTTCAGATACCCCTGGGGCAGTGTTTAATAATTTGAGATAAATACCAGACAGTACTAACAGTGCTCTAATCTAGCCTAGCTTGTGGTCATTTTTGAGGTCAGAAATGAATGTTCTCACTCTCCTGTAGCCAGCCTCGGCCTGAGCTGCTCACCAAAGCTGCCCTTCTGTTCCAGGACATCGTCTCAGCCCTGGAGGACCGTCTAAGGCCCCTGGTCCAGGCAGAGTTATCTGTGCTCGTGGATGTGCTCCACAGACCTGAGCTGCTTTTCCCAGAGAACACAGATGCCAGAAGAAAGTGCGAAAGTGGTGGCTTCATTTGCAAGTAAGCAGCCTCTCGCTCTGGGGTGGTCAGTTACAGAGCCCTGCTGACCAGACAGAGTGTTTGTTCGTGAAGAAGCAGACGCTGGCCTGGTTTTTGACTTTGATGAGTACAAGGTCATGCGTTAGAGTCCCGTTCTGACCTTGCTAAAGTAAGTTTGTGGGTTCGGTTGTACTTAACTGACACTTGTTTTTGGGTGAGAATTTCTCCTTTTAACTGCATGCCCGATCATCTTCCATGCCACAAGCACTGGCAGAGTGCCCACTGCGGGCTGCGATACAGATGTAGAAAAGTCGTGGCTCTTCTGCCCTCCAAAAGCTCAGACCTACCAGGACCCCCGTCTTTTCCTAACACCTTTGTAGTTTCTTAGTTTATGCTTTGGGGCATTACCTAAAAGAAACAACTGGTTCCATGACCAGAAATCTCCTTTTGATTTTTATCCTAAGGTGGGTTGATTAACTTGAGAGTGGACTCTGCCTCTGAGCCCCTCAAAGGACCCTGGGTCCCTCAAAGGACAAGACTATGGGTGAATGAACAGTGTTCACCTTAACCATTATCCTCATGAGGTTTTTTTTTTTATACTGGTGGCATATTTTAGCCGTGTAACCAGCACTCCTTAGTGGATAAAAAGCCACACTTTATAAACTGACAGGTTTGAGTGGGCTCCTGTCCTATTTCTCCTCCCCCTATCATCTCCTATGTGGTAGGCTCCTGCCCAGTGTGCCCTTTTGCTGCTACTGACCAGCAGGTGTCGCTGTTGAGACACTAACTGGCTGTTCGCACTACAGTGAATGCCCCAAAGCATGTTTAACCTGGGAGTCCTTGACAGATATTTGTTCATTAACTGACTACTTAAAATAAGTTGCTTGTGAAGTGATTGTTTGTTTAATTGAAAGATCATTTCAGGGACCTAATGTATACCCCCCTCCCTTCAGGTTAATAAAGCATACTAAACAGTTGCTAGAGGAGAATGAGGAAAAACTCTGCATTAAGGTCCTACAGACCCTCCGAGAAATGATGACCAAAGACAGAGGCTATGGAGAAAAGGTACTGTGTTTTATTCTCTTGTCAAGACAAGGTCTTGCTATTAAATTGAAGTGGGATGGTGGGTTAGAAATCCACTGTAGTTCAGGCATATTGACTAAGGGGACTTTTTATTTTTTAAAGCTAATTATCTGGTCATGAAAGGTAGCTAAATCATATGCCTTCTCTTCTAAAAATCACATATACTTAGTCGTCTTATAGGCTGCTTGCCACGTAATCTAATGTCAGGGAAATAGTAACAAGGTATTTCATCTAAATTCCTGGTGGGAATGCAAATGCCTCTTGTGTATCAAGGCATGCATTCCTGAGTTTTGGGTTCCAGCTAGGCATACCTGTGGGTTTACTGCTTCTTTCTGGTGAGATGTTGCACAATCCTTCCAGTGTACTAAGAAACTCCCTCCTGTTCTAACTGGAATTAGGGCAGGCAAACACATTACCCTTTCTAGCTCAGACTGGGAAATGGGCAATCCCTGGGACATGCTATTTCTTGGCATAGGCACTGAGCAAGGATGTGCAAGACACCATTCCGCACACTTTCGATTTTGGTCCAAGTGGGATAAAAACAATCTCACTGCCCCTTCTTTCTGCCCCCCCACCTTAAAAATTGGGGGGGACATGAATTTAAAATCCCACCAGTTTTCATTTGAAGGTAGTATGTTTACTAATGTTCTCCTAGCCACTTCAGTAGCATTTTCTGAGTAGGTATATCCACTGATGTCATTGATTTGTCAAACTACCCAGTAACTCATTGATTCATCTCTGTGAAGAAGCCTTAATAATTAAATCACTGCCTTCTTTGTCAAAGTGGGTGGTGGCAACCAGGTTATTTCAGGTATAGAAGTCTGTAGGGATCTTGATTTCTGACCTAAGCAATATCTTATGCAAATATTAGAACAATTTCACATGTGAAAATCTTTGGATAAGAAAAATAAACCGGCAAAGTACACAAGCCCTTTTGCAGCATACATTCCTTCACTGTCCCCAGATCACACAGCTTTGAAGTGTCACTCTGAATTTTAAAAATACATAAATTAAAAGGTGAATGAATGTGTACTAATTAGGAAATAAGTATCTATAACTCAGTAGGAACTTGGTGGTAGAAACCTGCAAGACAAGAGTTTATAAATATAAATGATAGAAGTGAAGACCCCTTGTACAAATGAGAGATGATGAGATGTCTTGTTCATACGAGCACTTGCAGAGACACCTATGTAGATCTTGCACTAAAACAAAAAGAAAGAGTAGGCAAAAGCTAATAGCAGAGAGTACCAGACAAACAAGCAGCATTTATTTCACAAGATCATTCTTTTTCTTAAAGTGAGCTTTAAAAAATGTTTTTAAAATATAATTCTAGTAACAGAAATTCACTCTTCATAAAAAGATAAAACCCACCAAAAGAGCCATAACCAGCTAGGAATATACTTGTAGCTTTGGGGGCATAAAACTTGATTTTAAAAGGTGGAGACCAGTTTTCTCTTCTTTAGAATATCTGTTCATTTCTATGACTGAGTTTTTTTTTTTTTAAGATTTTATTTATTTATTTGACAGAGAGAGACACAACGAGAGAGGGAACACAAGCAGGGGGAGTGGGAGAAGGAGAAGCAGGTTTCCCGCGGAATAGGGAGCCGGATGTGGGGCTCAATCCCAAGACCCTGGGATCATGACCTGAGCCGAAGGCAGACGCTTAACAACTGAGCCACCCAGGCGCCCCATGACTGTGATTTTTATAGTAGACTTGGTGTCCCTACGCCCACAAATGTTACAAGTTGTGATTATACTTCAATTTCTCTCAAGTTTTTTTTTATTTGTTTTTGTTTTTAATATCATGGAAAGTAGAAAAGCTAGGATTTGGCAACTAAGTACATCAGGGTCTTTGGCCACATGGAAGGTATGCTTCCTCACTGGCTTTCCCTGCTGTTGGTGCTAACTGGGAGAATATCATCACAGACCATGGGAGATGCTGGACCTGAGATGTTGTAAAACTGTCGTTATAAAGCTCATGGAAAACGATGGAGCCTGGGGCTTTAAGAGGGCAGTAGGGTGGAGGTCACTATGAAAGAGTAAATTGTCAGAGTTTAGAAGAGGTTCTTAGGCACTGGCTCACATTCTTTTTTTTTTCAGCTGGTGAAGAAATTAGCCACACCCAAGCAGAGAGAGGCTTAAAGGAAAGATGGCATGTCTTTCCAGTCTGATTGGGGCTATCATCCCCCTTCACGAAAGTGAAAATACCACAGGCAAATGTGGGAAATGCCATGCAACCAAGGAATACATTCCAGAAACCCATGTTAGTCAACAGCTTCAATACCTATAGCACATACTTAGAATGCTTTGTGAGAAAATGCTACTTAACTATTGACATTAATTGAACTTAAAAGAGTTGGTGGGGGGGTTTGTGCTAAACTATTTCTGTTTTTTCCGATCTGGTAGTGGGTATTAAATTTGTCCTGTTTTATGAAGGCTTTTTGAAAATGATTTTGATGCTTTCACGGCTGTCCCTGTTTGACTACAGATGCATGATGTATGGGGCAGGCCAGCTCTTTCAAGGGTAGAAGGAACCCAGAGCCAAAGAACTAACCTTTCCCAGGCAAACCAGTTGGCTTTGGTTGATAAAATAAATGAGGTGTTCTTTGGACTGGATGCTCAGGGCACAAGGGGAAGTGTGAGGTCATTTCCGTCTTCCTGGCCCAATTTTCCTATTAGTTGTCTCTTAAGTGGAATTTGTCCCATGACTAATGCCCTCCTGGGATGTCCAGAATTGTTCTGCCTCCCTGCCCTGTCCTGAGTCTTCATGGCCATAGTCTGGTCTGGCATCACTTTGTCCTGCTCTCCCTCTGCACACCAGGAGGCCACGGTACAGAGCTGAAGTGACTTCCCAAGGTCACGTGGCAAGTGTGTGACAGGATCAAGACTGAAAGCCAGGGTCTCAAATCCCAGTGCACTGCCCTTTTCTTCCACCCCTCAGGTAGTGTCTACCCTGTCTGTGGGCCAAGTTTTCTTGTCTCCTAAGCCATAATCCTTAAAGATAAAGAGACATAGATGCCTTTATTCATCTCTGTGTCTTCATTCAATATTTAGGATTGTCAAGGTCACAGATGAAAATGAAAGTTGAGATCATTCTTTATTATCCTGTTTAAAAAATGTTGAAATATTAGTTTGCTTGTATGGATTAACTTGTCTAAAAAAAAAAGCCACTGGGTACTGCCACCCATATTACCAGATAGACTAAAACATAACAGAATCACTGAATACTGGCTTACATTTTTTAAATGCCTTATATACCCATTAGTGTCCTAAAGTATGTCTTAAATAACAATTACATTCTTTGACTTCTTGTTATGTGCCAGCCGCTGTACTAAACATTATGTTTTACCTTATATCAGGTCAGCCTCAGAGATAGCAGTAGTGTTATTAACTATTTTATACATGGGGGAGAAAACTTAGGCTCAGAGAGGTTCAGAAACTTGCCCAAGGCCACACAGGAATGGGGGAGCCAGGAGTTCAAACCGGAACACTCTGACTTCAGAGTCTTCTCCACTGTATCATTGGTGATTGACACCATTTGAATGTTTTGAAGTCCATCCACAAATGTAACATTTAAGTTTCGATTATGTTCCATCATTGTGTAGACGACACCGGACAGTGGCTCTGACGCACAGCAGGTAGCAAAATGTAAACATCTCATCTTCAACTGAGTTGTGATGTCTCATCTGATTGAAAACAGTCTCCACTTGATGCCAACTGGCTTTACAAATTACGATTGTCCCAGGATCCTCCTCAATCTCTGGTTGTTCTAGTCAGGTCCCAAAAGAAAGCGTCCAAGTGGACAGTCCTCTTGTCTTGGTTAGTTCCCTGGCAGGTACCTGTCTAAGAACTGTCACATAGGACACCAAGCTTGGGGCTGCTAGAAGAAGATTATCACAAAAAATTAATCATGCTCATTTAGGAATAAAAAAAATCTTTATTATGTCTCTAAAATGCAAAGGAGCAGCAATGAATATTTGTCTCATAGAGTGGTAAATCTAAATATTTTAAAAATGATCACCAAAATAATGGTGAAATGTGTTTTTGTATGATGCTTACAGTGTCTTGCTATCCTATGTATTCAAGGTTAATAAACCTTAAAATTATATCAGGACTTTACAACTATTCTTTGTCTGAAACGCCTACTAAACTCTGCCTTTTTTTTTTTTTTAATTTAAATTCAATTGGCCAAGGTATAGTACATCATTAGTTCTTGATATGATGTTCAATGATTTATTAGTTGAATATAACACCCATTGCTCATCGTATCATGTGCCTGCTTTTAATCCACAAATTAAACCATGTCTTTATTAAAAAAACAAAACAAAAAAACTTCCCATAGCTAAACATCTCTAAAATTTAATCCGAATCTTTAACTCAGAGAACATCCAAATGCCCTTAGACCCAGCTTGAAAAGACAGCATAATTATGTTATATGTTGTATATTGGCTTCTCTGTAGTCTACTATAGGCTTTTTATTAGTCAAAGAGCTTTGGAAAGAAATTCAGAAGTCAAGAATTAATATAAAAGGATATCTCAGAATTTATTTAAAATCTATTTTCTCTTCTGAATAGTAGTAGCTGTTTTACTACTAGAGAGTTTTTTACCTCAAGTAACGTCAGGGTTTTCATTTCATACTAATTGACAGTACCTGTTAATTACCAATGCTTCTTTTCTCTAGGTGAATAAAATATTAGCATTTCCAGCTACCAGGATTTCTAATAAGGAACTTAAATTTGCAAATGTATTATTAACAAAGAATAATAAAAATAACTTGAGGATCATCTCTCCCCTTTTAAACAAGCACAATTGTGATTAATGCTCTAGTTTTTTTTCTTTTTCTTGACCTTGGTGCTAATCATTTACTTGTTACTAATATCACTTGAATTGGCTCTAATCATCTTTGGGGGAAAAGTGTGTTTTTTTTTTTTTTTTTTGGTTTGTTTGTTTTTTAATCATCAATAGTAGCAGGATTTGGAGCTTCTGCTCTTAGGATATGTTGTCATACTATTTGCTGAAGTGGAACCTGGTTCTGATTTAGCCCAACTACAGTTTGGACCCCAGATCCCTACTGGATGGTAAAATGAATCGAAAGAAAGAATTTTCTCCTAACTTGCATAGATCCAACTGTAGTCTTTGGCTTTCCTCTTTCCCACCCTCTTCCAAAAGAACATGGTTCTTGTTTGGGTAATTGGCCCTTGCTCGCAGCTCAGTTCAAGTTTTCACATCTGCAAGAGAGTGGGAAGGTGTACCTCTGAGCCCTTGGTTAAGTGACCTGGGAGGTTTGATACCTGCCATGTGAACACAGTGTGACAGCATCCTGCCCCCATCCTGAATGGTGTGGTGCAGAGCAGATGTCACTGTGAGCTGTGGTGGTTAGTGCCCCAGATCTCTGCACCTCTTAAGATGGTCCCCATCTAACAACGCTCCAACATGGGAGACTCAGTGCTAAGACAAAGTTTCTAACGCTTCACTTGCTGGTATTTCCTAACATTTCCTTCTTTTTCTCCCCCTTTTTTTCTTTTCCAGCTCATTTCCATTGATGAATTGGATAATGCTGAGGTCCTAATTTCATTTTTTTTTTAAATGTCCCATGGTGATGTTTCCATGACACCTTTCCAGTGAACACTGTGGTCTGTCCCCTAGTCTCTGCAGCGTCTAGTATCTGACTTTGTGTAGTGTGCCTTCTGGGCGTGAGTTGAGTCCTTTGTGTCTGTCTTAGCATTTCCCATGAGTTTGTTTGCCATTTGTCCTTGGAGATCCCATCAGAATCTAGATAAAGATTTTCTAAAACTGTGATAAGATTTCAATCATTCACTGTTTAGAATCTCAGCTGAATTTGTGGTTGATGCTGGTCATTAACCTATCTCTGAAACTCAGTGTTGATATTTATAAAGAGCTTTTCTATCTGGATGCAAAGCATCAATGCAAAAAGAAATAACTGCATTCATATAGTTTGAAAGTAGTAAACAACAACAACAACAACACTATTCTCTTGGTCCACATGTTGGGAGGTATTGAGTATGAGGGATCATATAAAATTTTGTCTAAGTGAGTTGTGAATTCCAAATTGCTCGTTGAGACTATCTAGATGCAGGCTTACAATGGGGTTAAAAATATACTAGATCTGTGGCTTTTCATCCAGGAAAACTACCTAGAGGTCAGGAAATTGAAATGTCATCTGATGGATCCTATCAAATTAGTATCAAACTAAGTTTATATATATTCATATCAAATTAGTTTTTTGACCACAGTTATCCTGGGGACCAATGAGTGGTCATTTTATTTGGGATTTGGGGGCCTCTGAAATATTTTTTTCTAAAGATTTTATTTATTTATTTGATAGAGAAAGACACAGTGAGGGAAGGAACACAAGCAAGGGGAGTGAGAGAGGGAGAAGTAGGCCTCCCGCTGAGTAGGGAGCCCGATGCGGGGCTCTATCCCAGTACCCCGAGATCATGACCTGAGCTGAAGGCAGAAGCCTAACAACTGAGCCACCCAGGCACCCCTGAAATATTTTTTGTTTGGTGAATATTTTTCATCATTTCCTACCATATATTTAGGTTGCAATACATGTAATACAATTAAAGTATATAAATGAGGGAGTTAAATTGCTTGGCAAATTGAGCACCCTAGAAAAAAATTTTTTTAGACTTTTAAAAATGTCTTTCCTGCTCTACCTCTTTAGATATCTATTACTTCTTTTGATAGACCAAGTAATACCTTACTTTGGGCAGGATAGAGCTACCAGAGCGAATATGTTGTCTATTCTAATATCCACCACCATCATTTCAAAAATATTAAGAGATGGTTCAGATTTACTAAAGGACAGTTTGAATCACAGACTTAAAGCTGAAAGCAAGTTGCTCTGAATTTGGTTCAGTTCCCTCAGGAATGGAGCTCCAAGACGTTAAGTGACTGGACTTAGCTTGCACAGCCAGATAGATAGTGGCTAAATTAAAGCTAGCACTGCCGGCTCAGCTCCTCTCCTGGTGTGCTTGCTGTTCTACCACAGTAAACGCTGGAAACAGGGACTTTTCCTTGTAGTAATCAGTCTTGGACGGGGAGGAGGCCATGCCCTCTGGGATGAGTAGAAGGTGAGAAAAGGTTGTGCAGTAAAGGCTTAATGAATGGCTTTAACTACAGTGATTTTTGCCATTTCCTGTCTCGTTCTTTCTCTTCCTGGTTATTTCTGTGCCAGAAAAATACCTCATGCTGAATTTGCATGTTGGCACCTTTCATTACTCTTATTTCTACCTGGAGTTGTAAATGCCTCACTGATTTGAACTTTTCCTTTGAAATACTGAAGTTGTGTTTCTATTTGCTTAAGTACAAATGAAGGAACATCTTCCCTAATCGGAGTCTGCAATGTTATTAATATACTGTTTTGCACCATAGTAATCAGTTGATGTGTTTGCTTGCTCAAGATAGAACTTGGGTCTCCTGGCTGGGAGTTTATTGCTTGCTTATGGAAAGATTCCACAGTTGGAGCAGGTGTGTTTATAATTATACTCTAGGAAATAGAATACTGTCTGTTTATAAAAGAAGAATGTTCTGGCAGCCACTTGGATTCTTTGAAAATTCCCTGAGGAAGCAACTGCGGATCCCCTCTTCGTTGTTACCCCTGGCAACTGTCAGAGCCTGGGACACCAGCACTCTGTCCCCAGTCCCTCAGGCTGTTAGATCTGGTCCTCTAAGCAGAGATGGTTGATTGGCCTTTTTCATCAATGGCTGTTCTGGAAACTACCGCAGCTCCTGTGGTTTCTCCTCTACCAAGCCTTTTGTCAATATGTGCTGGTGGAAACCTGCAGCCCACAGCTGGGGTTCGGCAGAAGCTTAATGAGAGTTCATGCTGGCCCGTGATACAGGCAAGGCCTCACACCTAATTTGCAAACCAGTGTTCAATTCTAAACATGGTGGGGAATCGCCCCTGAAATAGTGTAAGGCATATATGGTGATCCCATGAAACCCTGATTGGGGGAGGGCCGCTGCCTTTTGATGATAGAGGCCACTCGGGCATCTCAAGGAAGGAGATGTGCTGTGAATGACTCTTGAAAAAGCACAGCACCTCTGTGTTTTTGTCAGTGCTCTGAGAAATCAAGGTAAAATGAGGACAGAGTCATGGAATCCCTGTAAGGAAAGGGCATGGTATAGAGCCCTCCAGCTGTCTTCTAGAACAAAATGTCATTTGAAACCAGGAAGAGGAGGTTTGGCCTTTCTTTCTTTTCTTTCTTTCTTTCTTTCCTTCCTTCTTGGCAGATAAAGAGGCACAGTGTCCATTCTACCCCCCTAATTTTACCTTTTCCTTGGGGGGTTGTTTGAGGGGGTACAGATTGGGTGTAGGGGAAAAGGAAACTACCATACTTGGGTTGGTGTCCCTTCAGCTCACTCTTAACGTTTATAGCTTGATGAATTGTTACATATGTATACATAAATCAAGATAGGAGATGTTTCCATCACCCCCGGAAAGTTCCCATTATCTACCCATTCTTGGCTTTAAACAGATGCCAACTGATGCTAAAGACACTCAGTTATATGACTAATATTTGAATGCCTGTTACATTCCAGGCATGGTGTGAGGCTGTAGGACTATGGTGTTGCCCCCAAATAGGCACAGTGTCTGCTCTTCTGAAGTCCAGTTTTGTGGGGGAGACGGGTAGTAGTACAAATTAGTGTTCAGTGACAGCTGTAAACCATGAGAATTGCTAGAATGGAGAAGTAACTGGGGGGTTATGAGAACCCATAATTTGGGAACTTCTACCTGAGCAGGGAGGTCGCATAAGAGCTTAGGAGGTCAGATAACAGCAGGTGGGTAGCACCAGCAGGTGATCCTGTGAATCACCTTTCTAAACTGTAAAGTGCTGTGCTAACCAAACAGACGATTTCAATCCAATACTCAAATCTGAGGTGGAGGCGGTAAGGCAAAACAGTAATCCATCTCATTTTCATGTATGTGTCTGTGGCAGGGAATGGTGTGTTGAGAAAGTGTGGGCTATAGCTCAGTGGGACATGCTGCATTTCTTTGTATTTGAGATGTTTTCCCCATTTCATCACTGTCACTTGGACCATGAAATCTCCAGCACCACTGGCTAGAGTGGCATTCCCACTGGTTTAAGGGTGGCTGTGGCCTGCTTAAAGTAAGCCCTCAACTTATCCCACCTTGAGCTTCTTCTGCAAGCCAAGGATGCTGGCGAAGGAGAACTTTGTAAAATTCAGGATGGGGAGAAAAGAGAAACACAAGAATTATTAAATTTCACCTTCAGGGGGCGTTCTCATGACATCCAACCCAGGCTGGAGGTGTCCTACTTTTTTACATTGCTGTGAACTGCTGGGTTGGGCACCTGCCAACATTCAGGCGGCAGTTACATAAGAGCTGCTTTTTTTCCTGGAATTTAGGCTCACTGCTGATGTGTGACCTTCAGCAGTAATTGCCAATAAATGCAGCGGGGCTGTTTACTGTTAGACACTAGCAACCATACAGCAAGCGAGCTCAACTAAGAGCACACAGAAGCTGTTGCAGGAGGATTTGGGGGGAAGGGGGCTGGGGTGTGTGTGTGTGTGTGTGTGTGTGCGTGTGTTTTGATGCTGAGATTATTCCACAGTGACTGAAATTGTATAATTTAGTCAAGTCAGAATGTGTTTTTTAAAAATGAATTTCGCTATTGGGTTCCAATGAACGTGTTCTGTAAAGGTGAAACGGCATCATTGGGACTAAATTTTTACTTCTTACTTGGTTTCTAAAAACAAATGCCATTAATAAAGGGCATTGTGTTAGCAGATGTGAAGGTTTAAAATTGTTCTGCTGAAATGCTAGTTCACATATTTTAGCTCAATTTTCTTTAAAGCTTTCTAGTCTCTTAAGGTGGGTTTGCAAAGGCTCAGGAAGGACGGGTCCCAGCAAACATATTTGCAATCCTGTCTACTGTTGGCTGGTTGGTTGGTTTCCCTCCTCTGAGGTTTTGAGTGGGTGAAGAGGAACTGGAGGCTGATTCAGGGGTACTAGAGTTCATACATTCCCTTTGATATGCTGAATAGGAGGGCCATAGGATGTCTGCATTGCTTGAACTGTATTCAGCTTCTGCTGGGGATGGTCCATGGAAGGAGACTTCATCTTTCAAGGGAAGATTCTAGAAGCCCATGGTTAATGGAATAATTTATGTTAATGGCAGCGGAAAACAAAAGGTTTTATTTTTTGGGTGTTTTTTGTTTTTTGTTTTTTTAACAAGGCTGTGGTCTGTGCTAGCCTGTCGGAGGCATATGTGAAATGTATGTGTGTATGTGAGTGGATATTGTTATACATACATAGGAATGATAACTCTAGGAAGACTAAGGGCTTCTTTTTTTTTTTTTTAAGATGAGAAGGTATGATTTCCTTCATTTATAGTAGAAATCCATCCTTCGAAAAATGTTAGGTATGTTACATGTTGCAAGCAAGCATGTCCGTATCTCACAAGCACATACCTGATTACTACTCAAGTCCCTTGATTTGCAGCCTCATCCAAGAAGGCCACTTGGGATTTAGTGACTTGAGATTCATTTTGAATTTCTATTTCAAAACTAGTCATTTGAAATCTTTTTTTCTATGAGGTTAGATTTTGCTGACCTAGTCTAAAAGCACTGGGAAGACATAAGATCAGTGAATAAATACAAAAAGGCAATAGGGTGCAGTAATGGGTTTCCAAGTTCAAAACCAGGCAACATCAGACCACTGTCCGTCACCTGCTGGTTTGGGAGGCTTTGCCTTGATTGGAGGTGTCAGCCCCTGAATGTAGTGACTGATCCTGAGACTAAGGTGGGGAAGACAAGACTTGTCCAAATTCAGACATCACCATTTTCTCAAAACATGCCTCCTTAATGTGTGCTCATTGAGGATGACCCTTCATGTAAAAAAAAAATTTAACTTGATAATAAAATATGCTGAGAAGAATCACTTCATTATTAAATATTATGTTCTGGTTTTGGCATTATATATTATATTTATGTAGCTATTATCTTATTTGAACAATGTAGCTTATTATAAATATGCTTCTATTTTTCAAAATTGCAGCTTACTGCCATAAAATAACCTCATCCTCAAGGAAATAGAGCTGAAATCCTCTTAGAAGGAAGTGCTAGTAAAGGCTGTCAGTTTGTTTTGTTTTGTTTTGTTTTTACCAAATTATATGCCAGGTATGGTTTGGCCTTTGCCATGCCTGAAATCATTTTATGTCCTAGCAAGTTGTATTATATTTAGGGAACTTGCTGTTAGATATTACAAAATGAAGTTTACTGAAAATATACCAAGCATTGTTTAATGTTTTAACTGGAAGAAATCCTAAAGAATATCTGCTCCAGTCTCCTTGAACTACAAGTCAGAACGTGGAAGCCCAGAGAGGTTCAGTGCCTGGCTCAGGTTCATACAGAACCAATGAGCTTGTGGACACATGACCCTGTGTAGCGCTCTTGGTTTTTCCATTCTCTTTCATGAACGGATAGTCCTTCTATACACTATTCAGTGACTCCTGAGGCTGCAAAGCATCCTCTGTTGTCTCAAAGAGCTTCATGAAATGTTCAAGGAGAAAAGATAATTAATTTTAATTTAATTATTATTTTGGAAATTAATTTTAAAACAAGCATATCAGTAGTTTAGGGAAGCAGTAGAGTAAGTGTACAATTATAAAACATATCAGAAATCACTGATGTCTGAGTGATTAAGAAATACCCATATACTACCTATGGGCATTCTAGAAGTATTCACAATACTTCCTTGAACAAAGAGATCTTGAACAAGAAAATTTTAAAAACAAAACAAAACCCCACCACTTGCAATTCATTCTTCTTCATTTCCTTTAACTTTTGATTGGCAAAAGAGTAGGAGGGTAGCTCTGTGGGTTCCTACAGTAAACCCATGCCTATAATCTTTTTGTTCTAATCCTATAGGATCAGTATAAAAAGATATGTTAGTGGGAATGTAGCCAGTGCAAATAGTAGAAGATAACATCTTTTTTCCGTTGGTATCTCTGGCTGCTCTAAAATACATGGGCCGTTGCTTTAATTCTTTTTCTCATGTGTCCCTTCTACACTAAGGGAGATAGCAAATACATTTGCACAGTTTCAGTTCTTTAGCCTAAAGCATACAGAATTTAAGAACAGAGTTAAAGTGTATTCTTGGGTTGTCATTTTATTTATGTCTTGAAAAGACCTGTAACTGACTTCTGTTTTTATTTTCCTTGCCATGCTTCAGTCCCTCCTGCCACTGTATGTCTCCACACCCCAATGGGAGGCTCAAGACTCTGGAGATAAATTTTTTCCCTGAGGCTAGTGAAGTTGTGCTCATGTCTGAAAATTCTTCTGTCCATAATTGAGGGAGCAGCCCTCCACATACACCCCACTGTCCTTGGAGAATTACTTTAATCTTTGTACTTAAAGACATCTCCTGTATCTTTTCATCATTTTACCTGTTGAGAAATGAAAACAGAACAGAAGCCATAAAGTTATATAATGACAATCTTTTTTTTTTTTTTAAGATTTTATTTATTTGACAGAGAGAGACACAGTGAGAGAGGGAACACAAGCAGGGGGAGTGGGAGAGGGAGAAGCAGGCTTCCCCCCGAGCAGGGAGCCCGACTGGGGGCTCGATCCCAGGGCCCTGGGATCATGACCTGGGCCGAAAGCAGACGCTTAACGACTGAGCCACCCACTGAGTGTCTCCTCCCCTATAATGACAATCTTATATCAAGAACACTTTTTTCCATGTTGGGGATCAAACCACCAAAGGGATAGCATTGGGCTGAACTGAAACACCACCAGGTCTCACAGCTTCAGTCCTTCTGTGCTTTCAGCACCTGTTCTGGCTCACCAGCTGACAGCCACACTCTGGCCTCAGTATGGATGCTGTGTCGCTGGAGCATTGATGAGGGAGGCCAAGGTCACTCACTTGCAACGTGAGCCTTGGCCTCATTCCACAGTGCCAGACTGTACCTTGAACTAGCCAGCCATGCCTGGTGTGTGACTTTGGTCCAGGGAGGCCTGGGTAGGGTCTGGTGGTTACCTCTGACATCAGTCAGTTCCCTGCTCCAAGCACGTGCCCTGTGGAGGACAGATTCCTGGAGCCGTCGTTCACAAGCTTTGGGCCTCTGTGAAGGGGAGTGCCCCTGGGGCCTCTGTTACCATTACCCACCCCCTTTCCCTCCCTGCACCTCCTTGGATATGCACTGTGATTGCTTTTTCTCTCTCGGTGTACAAACAAAACACGGGTGTGCCGTGGTTCTTCCTTTGGCGTCTTCCCCCCCCCCCCCACAAGATCTGTTTCCTTCTTGGTCATTAGTAGTCTTTTGTTTCTTTCCCTATTTTAAATATGTTTCCCCATCTCAGGCCAATTGTTTCTTCCAGCGCAACCACACTGAGTGCATTTTAAAAGAGAAAGTGTCTCCTCCCCTCAGTTGCTAAAGATCTGGTATAGCCATGTCACCTCATCTTTGATCTTGCCTTCTGTGTTTTGTCCTTCATGTTGGTCTCTGGACTTCTTTGTGGCCCATGAGATTCAAGTGCCATAACTAATATGCTTTGTTTTACTCCCAACTAGCTCCCACAAGCTCCGGATTCTGAGAACTCCACAGAGGTGTGTGTTGCTCACCTATATTTGCAGTGACAGCAAATATGGGTGTTTCTCAGTTGTCCTGGTTGAGTGTCTGAGTTGTAGTGGTGAAATTTCTGTCCTGGTGGTAGGCACAGAGGGAAGTCTTCTAGCCGGGCTGGGACCTGATGGTTTCTGTAATTAAGGAGGCTTTCAGTATAGAAAGTAAGTTCCGAGTTGCTGGAGCTAAACCAGAGCGCCCCTCCAGGTGAGGAGATGGGGCTCTCTGAAGGCTTTCACACAAAACTGTCTCAGTCTTGAAATGTTCAGTTGAGCAACTCTGGAATGTCAAGACCCTTCTGTTGTTCTACAAAATAGACTCTGGGTTCTGTGCAGAGGTAACACAAATTTGAAGTTCTGGATATTAACGTATAGTTTTGGTGAAAGCTACTAATAAATCATAGTTTCACATTGCATTCTTTCTGTTCTTCCTGTTGCTAACTAAACTCGTTAAATGAAGGACTAGAATTAATTAAGGCCTCTAAAGTCATAGAGAAGCTTTTTGGGGAGACCTGTTTCTAAGTATCAGAATTTACTTTCAGAAGCTATTCTAAAATCGCAGTAGGGTAAAGCATGAATGAAGTGTACTTCATTTGAGAAAAGTCTAATGAAGATCTTAAAAATGAAACAAACATTATCAGATTGCTGAGTTGCAGTGTGGCTGCTTTATGATGATCAGTGTCTACTCTGCTAATCAGAGCTCTTCATTGTTAGCAGCTTTGATTAGAATGCTGTGTACTGGTGGGTCGGGGAGAGCTAAGGTGGCCTTGTGTGTGTCTGCTCAGAAGAGTATGCACTGATGTTCTGATGCATGTGCTGTGCAATTATGCATGTATGAACTGTGAAGATTTGCGCTGTTGGTGTCTTGCATTATAACCCCTTTTGGGATCACGTAAAAGTACATAACATAGTATATGGCCAAAAAGTCAGAAACCTGCTCATTTAAATAGTGTGTTAGGCTTGGGGACAGGACAGTTGGTAAGCAGTATTCTAAGTAATCGAGCATTAGCATGTGTCTGGGGAAAAAATTTTAGAAGGCCTAAAATCCTCTTGTGTAACTCTTACCTCAGTATGAGCTCTTGGTATTTTATTTGTGATTGATACTGAAGATGGTCATGTCTGCCTAGTGTTGTACTTAAAATGGAATTTCTGCATGCTTAGCAGGAGCTTGAACCGAGCCCCCCCCTGAGGCAACTGGAAGACCATAAAAGGGTACGTAGTCTTGGATGTTGGGAGCTAATGACCATAACACCTCCCTCAGCCATACATTGTAATTTAAAGACAGCTTATGTTGGTGTTGATATTGCTAAAGCATTAATTGGCTCAGGACCAGTCACAGCCATTTGTATTAGTGAGGCTAACTGGTGAGTCCACTTATTATCTACCTGCTTGAGCCCTATACCTTGCCAGTGTCCAAATGATGACCAGGAAGCTTTTCATGACCTCTCTTCTTTTTCTGTAGTGGCTTTCTAATTAGATGAAGTCTTTAAAAAATTTTTTTTCTGCAAGTGACTGATGATCATTATGATTAATTTATAATCAAAAAAAGTTTAATAAAAAGTTCACAATTACATTACTCAGCTATAAAAGCAGCTAATGATATAATATTCCCTCTGCCCACTTTTTTTACGCAGGTGTGTATATGTGCCAACAAACATTTTCTTTGTCCTTGGGATTATTCTAAGTGTACAACTTCTGTACCTTGCTCTTGTCATTTAATATTGTGTATGACGATTTTCTTTGAAAGTCTGAAAATTAATAGCTGTCTGAAGTTCCACAAATGAACAAGTGGTTTGTAATATTTTCCTTTGATGAAGAAATGAAGAAATGGGTACATCTTTGGGTAGATTCCTAGAAGGGGCATTCTTAGGCCAAAGGAGAGATACTTTCTTTAGGTGCTCATTATGCATTGCCAAACCATTTTCTACAAGGCTTATCTACATCGTTAGCATGCTGACCAATTCATGTTACTCATTTTTGGAAGATAACCAGATATCCTGGATTTCTGAGTACTTATCATATGCCAGTTACTGTGCTAAGACTTTTACATATGTTAACTCATCAATTTAATTTTTATTAATGCTGACATTGACTCAGTGACATAGCCTTCATCCCCATTTCATATTAGGAAACTAAGACACAGGAAGTTGAGGTACTTTACCTAAGGTCATGCGGTTAGAACATGAGCAGTTATAACAAAGACTGCCTTGGAATTGTGGTCATCAGTGTCCTGGAGGATTTTTGCCTGAGATAAATGTGTGGCCCCATGCACCTTTGTTCTGCTCACATGCTCCAGCCCCTGCTCAGTCCCACCACATCCCAAATTCTTTGAATTCTTCTTCAATTGTAGTTTCTCAGGCTATGACCAAAGAACAGCTCCTGGGGAGCTGGCATTTAGTCTTTCCCCTCCAGCATCCTGGATCTCTAGCAGTTAGTCGACAAAGGGCCCCTTGCATTCCTGTGTTTTCCATCCGTACCTGTGCTTTAAGAATTGCCACGGGCCTTAGAAGTAGCTGGAAAAGACACATAGCCATCCCTCATGCCCTAAGTTCTCAGGGGACACGGTACTGAATGCTACATAAGGGCATAAGCTTTGGAATTAGAGGTTCAAGTCTCTCTGTGCCAAGCCTAGCTGTGTGATTTAAAGCAAGTTATGTATCCTCCCTGTGCCTCAGTTTCTTCTGCTGTAAAATGGGGATACTAATAGCCTCTGCCCCTTAGGACTGTCCTGCTGAGCTGTGCTCACGAAGCACTTAGCACAGTGGCTGGAATATGACAAGGGATATTAACTATTGTATTGTAGTTACCTCGCAGACTGAAACGCTTCAATTGATTTGGTAGACAATAGTAGCAAAAGGAAGGTATTTTTAAATTGAGACATGACCTTAGTGCTGACTAAAGCGTGAAAGGCTCACTACTCATGTGAGAGAGGGTGATCTTTCCTGCAGCACGTGATTTTCAAGTGGCTGGAACCTAGGAAGCCAAAAAGTTCACTTTTTCTCTCCTGTGCATATGTGGCAATATTAACTCCTTAGTGCCTTGTTCGGCACTTGTCTCTGTCCCTACATATCATTAGCCACTCAGTCGAACTGATAGAAATGAAACTTGTTTGAACCAAACTGCAAGGAAGGAGCTTGGTTTCATTACTCTACATCACTGAATTACCATTTTCACTGTTCTAAAATGACACTTACTACAAAAGAAACTCTTGGCCTTTGCCTTTTCTCAGTCTTAGGTAATAATGTGTGTGTGGAATTTCTTACCAGAGACAAACATCTGATATCTGTTTGCATACTATAGGTGTAAACTTCTGGAAAAAAATTAATGTTATTTAAAAAGAAGGGCGGAGGGTTGCATGGCCAAATGTTAAAATCGCAGAAGTGACGTTATTTGGGGAGTCTTTTTTTTTTTTTTTCCTTTTCTGCAATAGGGTTTCTGATCCTAGTACGCGGTGAGGAGTTTTGTGCTCTTGAGTGATTTATATCATGATGATTAGGAAGGCTTTTCTCTGCAGATTTTAATTTTTCCTAAATTAAACCACTGGCTCAGAAAACAGAATTTTTCTCAAACCTAAGTTTTTACACTAGGGATTTGCATAACTTTTTATAATGTTGTCCATTTTCTTTTTCCCTTTTTACCTAAAATTATCAGTCTTTATTCTTTCAGAAAAGGAATAAATCTCAACTTGTTAAAAAAAAAAAAAAGGCAAATCCCACATGCTCTGTGGTTTTTTTTCCCTTGCAGCTTAAACTTTTTTGTGTGTGGGGAGAGAAGGTGAGGTGAATATGTGCCAAAAGCCTTATAATTAAGAAGGAAAAAAATAAAAGTTTGTAGGGTAGAATGTATGTGTGTGTGTTTTTCCATAATTAGCACATTTCATGATATTCTCTTATGGGGGAAAATGTACCATTTGATGCATCAGTTGCTATGGTAACCGCTAGGGTTTTTCTGTGGAAGGAGAGACAAAATGGTAATGTGAGATCCCTTTGTAACTTCAGTTGGCATCCAGGCTGCATAAATGTGAAGTTCCTGTTCCTGGAGTCCACGTGTTCCCAGATGACATGTGTTCCTTCCTTTACCTCCCGCTTGCTTGATGGCAAACTGACCATAGTCTTGCCAATTGCCCTCAAGCTAAGGAGTGGAAAATCTGAGTTGCTCCTCCCTGAAGCCGAATTGGAGTGTAAAGGCTATAGTTGAGACTTCCTAAAAGACGTGTGTTTGTTGGTTGGTCGGTCATGGTCACCCTGCCTTTGACTTGACCATTCCATCTTCCATCTTCCAGACGCTTGCCAGGATTGGCTACATTGTCTGTCTTGAGCAGTTGCAGCTTGTAGGCCTCAGCCCACCCATCTATCTCTCAAACAACGTTCTTGTGATGCCCAGAGGGATCCAGTTAGAGAGTTAGGATGGTTTACTGCCAACCATTCCCTATTGTGGGAATTCAAACACTGTATGTTATTGAAAGAAAATCAAACTGATACATCATTATGTTGAAAAAAGGAAATCATATTTAATCTCCTGTTACATTCAGCATGGAGGTAACTTTTTCTTTCCCCTTTTTCTTTCTGGGTCAGCTTCTGTGAATGATCCTTTGAAATTTGTATTTCTCTCATCTTATGAAGTCAACCTTTAAATCACCATGCTCTCACTGACTGCTTTGGAGACCATCGATGTGTTTGTATTGGTGCTGGAGACAAAAATGCCAGCAAAGCTATATCTTTATAACAAAATGTGGTTTTCTAAACCATTAAAGAATATTGTGCCAAATGCAGTCTATTTAAAAAGTACATGAAAACCTCATAAATAGCTTCCCCATTGGAAGCACTCTCGGAATTTTGTATTTACAGTCAGTCAAGGTGGGTAACAAGTCTCATGAGCTAATAGAAGCACCTTCCTTTGCTGAACTACAATGAGAGACATATTTGTGAGTGGAATGGAGAGAAGAAAATAGAGATTTTTTCCATTTCCTGAACTTTGAATTAAAAATCAGTACTGCCCACTCCCCTCCTATTTATCCCATCCCAATTTGTCCCCTGAGTCTTTGACCAGCAGCATGAATTAAGAAAGAAGAAAAACTTGGCAGTGTAGCCTTGAGACCTTATGTGATTTTGACGCTGAACTAAGGAGTTTTCTACCTTTCTCCTTTGTTCCCTGGTCCCACGTTCCCCTGGCACGCCAGCCTCCTTGCCCCTCTCAGGGCCCTTCTCACCCTCCCGTCTGCTCCCTCCCATCCTGTTTTGCAGACACCCCACTTGAAGTCTCCAGACCTCTTCTTGGAGCTTCTTAACAAATCACTTTAAATTCTACTGACTCATGTTACCATTGCAGGTCTCTTCAGAAGAACTCTTGGGCCTCTATTTTAGACACCTGCTATATCTCAGCACCCCTTCCCTCTGCTAGACTTCTCACTCACCTCTCCTGATGATGTGCCAGAGGAACTCCATGCCTTACTACTTTGTCCCTGGGAAAGAGTCTGGGGGAGAACCATACAGCCTCTGACTTTTAGAAACTTCCAGACCGGGAGGTGGTCTGAGAGTCACTTAGCAGGACTGAATGTAGAATAGAGCTGAGAATAAATCCTGCTGCTTTGTGCTGCTTTGCTAACGTCCCCTAGTATTAGAGAACAAATCATGGTTTTATTTATTTTTTTGGTTGGAGTTGTGGAAAGCGTTGTTATGTCTTCTGTCCAAGATTCCTTTGATAGTTATATTTTTAAAACATTGTATTACGGAAAGGTTCAAATACATACAAGAAGAACTAGAAGAGTTTTGAGAACCCACATTCCTAACTCAGCTTCAACAACTATCAACTGGCTGCTCATATTTATATTCCTTACCTATTCCCCTCCCTTATTATTTCAAAGCAAATGTCAAACTCATTTTGTTCATGGTGCTTATTTTTTGATTGGCGTGTCTGATATCTGCCCCTACTTTATTTTCTATAGCATTATTTTTTCTTCACCACTCAACCCATTGACTGTTTCTATAAGAAAAGCTTACTTTCAGCTCATTATATCATTATGCAGTATTACTTTTATATCTTAATATTTTCTTACAATATTGGGAATAGACCCTATGCCTGGGGTAACATTTTTATATTGCTATGTGAAGGGTGACCTGTAAAATTCTCATTTTGTCTGAGTTTTATTGGCTTACCCCAAAGGGACTTTTTTGTTTTTGTTATTGTTAGTTGCCCTTCAGAATTAATGTTCTGTGTTTATCACTGTGAGAGGGAGAACTTGAGATATTTAATATTCTAGATTGCTGCTTTTTTTTTAATGATGCGCTTTCCTGAGAAAATATTGAAGAAGTTAACTTCAGAGTTTCCAAGTGCTTTTATTAATAATTTATTTTTTCACCGAGTGAAACTGAGCCAATTATAACTGAGTACCCCCATGTTTTTTGAGTATTAGTAGCTCACTTATGCATTAAATTCAGAACCTGATTTCATTATCCTGTTTGAATTAAGGGTGAGGCGCTCAGGCAAATTTTGGTCAACCGTTACTATGGAAACATCAGACCTTCAGGAAGAAGAGAAAGCCTCACCACCTTTGGCAATGGCCCGCTGTCACCAGGAGGACCCAGCAAGCCTGGGGGAGGAGGTAGGCTGTGTGGTGTGCTAATTAGCTGCACGTGTGAATCGAGTGTGCCACATGAGAGCTACATGTTTCTCCTTAACAGGTTGAAACTAACAGATGAATTTGGGTGGCAAGTGTGTTTTCTAGCAACTTGTTTTGTCTTTGGTCTACCATCAAAATGATATCTAAAAATATTTCCCTGCAGTTAGATATTGGCTAAGTCTTTTGCCCCTCTTTCCAGTACAGCAACCCTCTGGGTGATTTTTGAATGACACAAGGAACTTGATTTTACTCCCCATTTTCTTGTGCTTGTGAGGATTCATTCTTCCCATTAAATAACAATGGTGTTAGCAGTGAGGATGGTGAAAACTACCATTTATTGTACACCTACTGATTGCCAAGGGCTCTCCCAAGCATTTGAGCTTCTTGTTTGCTCCTCCAAGTACCCCATTATATGGCAGGTACTGTTGTTATCCCTTTTTAACAGAAGAAAAATGGAAGCTTGTTAGTGACTGGTCTATAATTTGAACCTCGGTATGTCTAATTCTAATGCCTATTCTGTGTTCCTCCCAAACTCTGAAGGGAGTTTACCGAAAAGAAAAAAGAAAGAAAAGAAAAGAAAAGCCTCTATAGAATTGCTTAAAAAAAAAAATCCTCAAAGAGTTTGCAAAACATTGTAAGCACAGTTACAGCAAAAGTTGCAAGAACGTTGAACTCAACTGTGGGTATTGGTTTTGGTTTTAAAGTGGGGAGGGCAGGAGTTCAGTGCTCTCTGGAAGCACAAGTGTGAGTTGTCTGATTCCTTGTCTATAATGATGACTGTTATGCACTATAGGTTTTGGGGGCATTCTGTAGGTAGCATCAAAATACTTGGTGGTGAATAAAGTTATCCTAGCAATATCTGGGAAGGGATCTTGAGTTTCTCACCAAATGAAAACTTGAAGCATATCTACTTACTTCATGGGGCTGTACAGCTTCAGTGAAGATAGAGTTCTCAGAGTATCCCAGGAACAGGACCTTAGCATTTCATCTGCAAGTTCCCAGGGATTCTCAAGCAGAAGTTCCTCACATAACATCTCAAAACTATTTCTCTTTACTTTCTGTAGTGGGGTCATTCCACAAATATGGGAGGCCCTGGGGAGGCCTTCTGAGGGTGTTTTAGAAATGCATCAGAGACCGTTTCTGCTTTAAAAAAGCTGTAAGAGAGAAGAGACGCAACCCAATTTCTACTCTGCACTATGGATATAATGGATCTAGGTAGTTAAGACAAGCGGTGCAAAGGAGGTGGCATTTGAATTGATGTCTGCGGGGAAGGACTGGCAGATGATTTTCTTCTCTCTGAAATTGATCAGCCCATTTCCCCGTGTACATTAACGTTTCAGTTATTGCCAATAATAATGCAAGGCAAGTTCTTATGTAGGCACTTTCTAAACACAGTTGGAATCCATTCCACTAAACGACATAGGCCCTATCTTCTTAAGTTTATTCATGTTATCTCAAGCTCAGTGGGGATGGGAATTTTATCTGTTTTCACTCTCTAGCCCCAGCTCTTGGCTCCATGCCAAGCACTGAGTAACTATTGAATGAACGAATGAACAGATAAATTATGTGAAGGGTTGAGTTTGGGGCTAGAGTGGGTTTGTTAGAAACAGGGCTAAAGTGATTGTTATAGGCTATATTTTCTTAGGAGTGTTCTAAGACATGTATAAGTTTGGTTTGTCTCTTGAACTCAAAAGTTTCTTAATAATTCTGCACCAAGTCATTGTATTTTAATATCAGGGAGAGTCTTGGCTGGATGGCTGTAGGTCTCTTGCTGGAAATACGTTTCTCATCTTACCTACCTGCCTGCATTCAAATACCATCTCTGTTACAAGCTGGGTGTCCTCCTCAAAGACAAGTGACTTTATCTCTGTGCTAATAATTAATACCTTCCTTGTGGGGTCTTTAAGAAGGTTAAAAGAGCTAATACTGTTAAAACATTTAGTGCATTAAGTGTTGGTGCATAGTAAGTATGCAATACATACTCTGACTATGGTTAATGAGAACAATATTCCATCTTCCCAGGGGGAGGCTCTGGGTCCAGCTCCACGAGCAGGGGTGAGATGAGCCTGGCTGAGGTTCAGTGCCACCTCGACAAGGAGGGTGCCTCCAATCTGGTCATCGACCTCATAATGAATGCGTCCAGTGACCGAGTGTTTCATGAAAGCATTCTCCTGGCCATCGCCCTCCTGGAAGGAGGCAACACCACCATACAGGTAAGGAGGCAGCTTGCTGCTGTGTGGCATCCCTGCTGAGCAGGAAGAGAATCTGTTCTGAGAGCCAGGCACCTGCATGGTACCACAGCTCTTCTATGATGGACAGCTCATTCCTAGAGCACAAAATTCTGTTCTTATGAAAAGCAAATTCTACCGGTATCTTCCTCGGTCATTCAGTCATAATTCAGAGTTGGTTTCAAAACATGAGTTACATTTGAAAACTTATAAAATGCTGAGGATGTGCAAAGAAAATTGATCCAAGATGTGGGGCATGGTAGGAAATCCATAAATCTTTGTTCAATGGGGGCACCTGGGTAGCTCAGTTGTTAAGCGTCTGCCTTTGGCTCAGGTCATGATCCAGGGTCCTGGGATCGAGCCCCACATCGGGCTCCCTGCTACGCGGGAAGCCTGCTTCTCCCTCTCCCACTCCCCCTGCTTGTGTTCCTGCTCTCACTGTCTCTCTCTCTGTCAAATAAATAAATAAAATCTTAAAA